GAAAGAGAGAGAGAGAGTTTAAGTTTAGTTATTCTTCCAATTAGTTTGTAAAATGAATTAAGCTTGTCAATCGGTCTGTCTCGTTCTCCTCGCTCTCCTCACTCTCATTCTACTTTTATGTTGCAACTTCCACAGACGCAAGTTCACTCTCCACTCAAGTGGAAAGATAGCTCTTGTACCGAACCACCGTCTCATCATAGTTTGTTGACAGCGTGTAATGGTTGTCTGTCCTTGCAGCAGCTTATCTTATGCGTGCACGATTTCCTCACTTACATTTATTGATGACATGGCCCTTTCTTTTGCTCTCTCTCTCTCTCTCTCTCTCTCTCTCTCTCTCTCTCTCTCTCTCTCTCTCTCCCACCCCTCTGTATTTTTCTCTCTATTTAGGGTTTTCTTCTTTTCTCATCCTCTATGAGATGCATGTCTGCTGCTAGGATTGGATTTCAGTTTACTGACTGTCAAAGCACAGGGGTGGCCTAGTGATCAGAAGAAGCGGTAGTACAACCAGTTCGACCGTCGATATTTTCCTCTTTTAGAAAGTTTTAGGAAAATGGCTTAGTTAGCCTGGAAAATTTCACGAGAGAAATCTCTATTGAGTTAATATTTTGAACTCTTGCAAGACTACATTGACTCGATGAGTACTCTCGAAAAAGTGAAGAAGCACACATTATGGTGTATGCAGACTGGCGAGAGGCAATGCGAATTAAGCAACAGACTCATGGGGCCTACAATTATTTAAGCAGTTGCCGAGCGCCGTGTGAAACTTTACTAAAACAACTAACCTAGAAACGTGCAGTGTACGTCATAGGGTCTTGAAGTCCTTGCCATTGCAGATAGTAAGGTAAAACTTTTCTGGGTAGCCTACATTTATAAATACGAAGGCCAGGGCCAACGCCCTCGTAAAGAGAGACTTATATCATATTTATCAGCTGCTTCCGCTAAAGGGCAGACTGTCTCGTCAAAATAGGTGACAGAAGACAACCAAGAGAGTTTTACTGGGAAAAAAGAGCAAAGTCAGATAAATTATTTCAGTAAAGACCTAGGAGGAAGCCTAGGTAAAGACACATTGTTACCAATGATTGTACATTCTTTTACGATACGATGTTGTCTCAGTCGTAGGGGAGGGTCATGAGTGCTGGTGAATGAGCCTATAACTTATAACCCGAAATCATAGGCTACTGAAGGACCTGGATTTTGACAATGATAGGGGATTTTTGTTTTTGGCATTCTTTGGATCCTAGTGTATCATTGACCTAGATCACCTAGATCTAGTAGGTAAGAGAAAAGGAGAGGATTCGACTCCATTCGTTTTCTTGGTGACAGTGAGAGTTTTGGTGACATTATTTCACGTCGCCAAAGCACAGCGGGTGTAAGAAAACTTGACCATGCTTTTTCTATGAGTACCATGCTTTTTAACGTTAACTCTGTTCAAAACACTTTAATTCTTTTGTAATGTCATTGTGCCTAATTGTCCCCTTGACATTTTATTCTCGTGGAAGAAATATAAGTATTTTAAATTTCTATTTTGTTTACGTTTTTCAACCGCGAAAGACCAGTAACTCTAATTGACCTTGAATTTCCCTCGCATGGTGGCGCTGCCTTATAATCAGCTTCGTTTCATTGGCTAGTAGCTTCTCATAAGCAAAACATTCCTGCTCGGGCTTTTGAGTGTAGAGTTTTTTTTTCCTGTTTCGTCTCATACAGTGTTTCGTTTTGTGAGTATATTTCAACTTTCTTGAAAAAAAAATGTTTATTGACTAATTGGTGTTTATTAACAGTTGTCAGAGACCCTTAAATCTTGTGAGGAGTGCAGGGAAATCCCTGAGATACTCGCGTTTTTACTAACCTGTCATGGCGGATGTTGTGCTATTTTTGTAATCTGCGCAGTCTTTGTTGGAAGGTTCCACACCGTAGGTTAACCCTCTGGGTCATAATTTCCTCTCATTAGATCATCGTTTGACCAGTGTACATCATCAAAGCTGAAGTAATGTAGTCGTTTTACTACTGAGTCAATATTGTAAACGTTCAGTGTAAAAGAATAGCAGTAAGCTGCCTGGCTTGTCTTTACAAACACGGTTATAAATAGTGTGTGGTCTCGGCAGCTTGGCTGGGCTCTGCACTGGACTTCTTGGACTTCAGCACTTTTATTGGTCAAGGCACATCCAGGTGATTTTTCGGGAAGACAAATTTAATAGAATACACCTTTTGCACTGGCTACGGTTTTGTCATTTCTGACAGTAAAAGATTACCTTAATATTAATTTTAGATGAAAATGGTCATGGGCAGGGTAAGATTAAAATGCCATGTGGCTGTGCTGTGGTGCCAAAGTCGGTGATTTACAGCCTATTTTGTGGATCTAGAGAAAGTCTATCTAAAACTTTAGTCTAAAGTCTAGATCTAGATCTAGATCTAGATTTAGCCAGAAGTCTTGATAGTAGTAAGATTGTACTTTGCCGGACCACCGGTGGCCACCGTTCAGGGCTACTTTCACTGTGGTGCCTGGTCGTCCGCTATTTCATTGTTCCTTTTGGGGCTCCCCATTTACTCACTCTCCTGCTCACTTACCTACATCATCACCCTTCAACTGCAAACTACCAACAGACATCTCGGAGGGGGGGTTTCAGGGGGTACCCCCCTGGCAACAATAATTTAAAGACACTGACACACACATATTATAAACAATAACATGAGCGGACAATCGGGGTAGATACTCGCCAAGTCGCGAGCAGGGCCGAGGGGGTTGCAATTATGCAAATGAGCTGTCGTGTGCATCTTTAGCCCTCAATTGTACTTTGCCGGACCAGGAGTAGGCCTAGGCCACCCAGCAGAGTTGCGAGCAAATAAGAATAGTGGACCACGTGATAAGATTGACCAATTAGCCTCAAGATGTCAGGGTCATGGGTCAAAGGGCACGGTGGCACAGTCGTGATGACTGAAAAACCCGGTAAGAGACGTCAGTCGATTGCTGGCAGTTGAAGAGTGAGGATGTAGAAAACTGAGTAGGAGAGTGAGTAGGGGAGCTCGGAAACGAAGAATAGCAGGCCACTAGGCACCAGTGGCGCCATAGCGAAAGTAGTTCCGACCGGTGGTCCGGTAAAGTACAATCTTACCGACATCTTATGTCGGCCAATGAGACTGCGCGGAGTGATCTCGCTCTTTCGGCTTGCTGCTGTCGGTTTTGTGTGATGTGATAAAAAAAAATAATTACAGAAAAAAACTATAACACACAACAAAATAAAATTAAACATGTGGAAAGCCAAATGGGCCACTACTTGGTCCATGGTGGTCCCGACTTTTGTGACAGACCCAGAGAAAATCTAGAATCTAGTTTTGACTTCAACGACGATTACTTCTGGTTCTAAGTCTAACGATTACTTTTTGATTCGCGTGCCGGAGAGATAGCCTTTCAAACTTAATTGCAAAACATATCATATCGTGGTCAAATTCAGAGGGGCATGCCCCCCTGAAACACCCCATGTTTTGTTTTTTTTTAAGTCAGGGGGGCAACCCCCCTTGCCTTATGAAAAACAAGTGAAATTTTACTGCTCGTTTTGTAGGCTAGATTTAGATCTAGATCTAGATTCTAGATCTAGGCTGCTGATAAAACATAAAACATTGATACCGACTATTTAAATCAGTATCGATATTTCAGTAGCAAAAGTCGGGACCACGGGACCACCATATTTCCAAGAAGTGCCGACAAATGGTGGTGGAAGTAATTATGATGCTGTAGTGGTGGTGGAAAGACCCATGTACTTACACCCTGCCATTGGGTAGATCTAATGACAGTGCAGTCTTTTGACTCTGGACACAATTAAATTACACAGTCTTAGTAGGCAATTTTACGTAAAGTCCTCGGACGACGTTTTAATAATGTAACGTCCTTGCACTCGCATAACTCACTAAGAAGCTGAGTCTGAATAAATAAAACCTTTAGTTTTGTTTCTGCAGGCTATAGTCTACTAGACTCTAGATCTAATATTACTATTTTTACGAGGTGTATATATATTTATATATATTTCACATTGATCAAAACTTAGACCAAATCAAGTCTCACGACTTAATGAACAAAAGTGAGACACTGACTTAATTGATTGTCTACTTTTGCAATGTGAATGGTCACACAGCACCAAAAAGCATTGGGGGGGGGGGGGGGTAACAGGGAATCAATCAGTTAGGCTACTGTTATTTGATTGTGTAGACATTTAGAAAATTAGTGAGAAGTGCAGTATGATTCATGTTGCATCTGATGGCAAAAGTTAATATGTGGCTCTTTCAGTTCAGTTTCTTTTCTATTTTTAGATGTGTTGGTTTGGAGTTGGTTCATGTTGTGACCTTATTCTGATCACATCATATGCCCTTGTGTAAAAGTTTTTCCTTTGAGTGGGTTTTTGTCGTGTAGAATGTTTGGTCAAGATGTCTAAAGGGATCTCTGATGGGAAAAAAATTGTATGCAATGGTGGGCTGATAGTTTCTCACTGTATTCTTGCCATTCTAAACTTTCCTGAAGAACTTGAAGTCAGTTTGCAAAGTTGGGTAGGTTTTTACTGTCACTCCCGGACACAGATGCATTGCTTTGATTGAGAGTCAACCTGGAGTAAATTTTGCTGTGCAGAACACTCATATGGCCACGACTGTGAGGGGGTGAGCATACCCCCTTGTACACACATATACTCACACGCCCGATTATTTTGGGATAGGGGAGTACTGTTCGCTTCTCTTGTAGTGTTTCAACTCTTTGTGGGCCAAACATTTGCCTGGAAGTTTGGCATGCATTTCCAGTTCTGTGTGTCTGCGTTTTTGGAGCAATTAGATCAGCCTGTCCAAACATTACAATCTACAATCCCCCCCCCCCCCCCCCGAGGATTCCTCCCTAACAACCATCATGTAATCTTTTGGGATATCGCCTGTATGTGTCTCTTGTTCTCTTTATATTGCATATCAATGCATTTCAGTCAATTTTGGTTTTTGGTCCTTTTTAACTCGGGTTACAGAAATAAGTTTTGTTTTGTTGATGTCAGAGCAGTTTGTTTTTTTACTGTAGGGCTGTCAATCTGAGGGATGTTGTCTATTTGTATCTGAATAAGTCTTGTTTCCTGCATATACATGAGTTATTGCATTGCCAGAATAAGAAAAGAATTGTCTTTTAACCCTTCCAGCCCCAGCGCGTATATTTTCAGCAGAGCTTGTACCTCTCACCATCCCATGAGCGTATATTCTCAGTTTTGGGAGATACCAATTTTGCGCATTTTTCTAAATTAGCGAACCTGTTTAAACTGTAATTTTCATTATATTCGTTCATTTACCTTTGAACACTGTTCTATGTTATTACCTAAACCTCATTACAAAGATACTAGATCACTTTTTAGAATGCATGCCAGTTTCTCTGAAATACCGCTGTATTGGCTGGGACTGGGGTAGGGAAGTGCACAAAAATGGCTGGGGCTGGAAGGGTTAATAGTGTTTTGAAGCTGAGAAAGATGTTTTTGTGTTCAAACTTTGCTTGAAAATTTTAAAATTATCGTTTAATTTGTTTTGTTTTTGTTTTTCCCCAGCGTCTCGATGTGCTTCCTCCTGCTGATGTGACAGTATTTTATGGGACCCATGTTCCCGTAGCCGCCTTCATGCTAGTCTTTAGAGCTCCATTGTTTTCACTTTGTGAGAGAAATAGTACAACAGAAATTTATCACTTAGCAGTTGCCCCACCGTTAGCAAAGGTGGCGACTCTGGGTGAGGAAAGCATTACACTTGACAAGCAAGAGACTGGACCCTTCAGTCAGATCAGCCTATTCAAACATTACCCCCCTCCGTTGTCCTCTTATCACAACGGCTACTGCCCATCATCCTCTGCATCAGCTTTCCTTTGCCGGCTTAACTGTGGGAATCACTGCGTCTGGTTTGGTGAGTTAAAATCAAGGAGATCGGAAATACCAAACATTATCTCCTTAGTGAGATGAAACCGGAAATAAATGCTGCTGCGGAATTCCTGTCACGGATTTTCCTAGCCCACGACAACATCAGTACGGATAAGGTCAGCGAATTCAAGCAGCATTTATCAGAAGTTTTGGAGGAGAGATTTCGAGACCACTGGCATGAGAGTTGCCCAACCAAGGGGCAGGCGTACCGCTGCATCCGCATCTGCCCGGACGAGCCTTTGGACCCAGTCCTAGAGAAAGTGTGCACCGATGTCGGTGTCAATCATGAGGATTTCAACCTGCCAATGGAGCTAACACTCTGGGTAGACCCGCTAGAAGTTGTTTGCAAGTAAGTGCACTCTACTGAAAAGTTTTGATATATTTAATTTTTGTTAACCATGAAATAAAATATAATGTGAGGCAGCATGGTGAAATCAGACGCTCTTTAAAATAATGAAAAAGTGAAGAAACATGTTTTCTCGCAGGTTTTGGAATTTTTATATTGAAATTTGTTTTTTGGCTCAACACCTTTCATGCCCACTAAAGAATATTTCTGTGTGGATTTTTACCCAAATGTTGATTAAAGGCGTAAAAGATATTAATTGTCCGTTTTCATGGACTCCAGCTAAGGAAGTAACGCAATTTTGGTGGCCATTTTCTCGCTAATTTTACAGTTGAAACCAGGCAACCCCCACCTCCTGAAGTCACCAATAACTTGAATGTACAAAATATAGATAAATGGATATAATTTTTTCCTTCAGAAGCAAAGCAAATGGACAAGCTTTAAGATGATACCAATAGGTCCATATATGTCCCAAAATTGACTAACACCTCATTCCACCGCATCATGACACATAGCATAAGACGACCCTACCACCATCCACAATCCATTTTTGTTTACTATTGAAATTTGAACTAATAAAAGAGGTTGAGCATGCTTGGTTATAGTCATAAGTCAGTGACTTCTGGCACACTATCTCTCTTTCCCTCTTTATTTGAGAGGTTCATAAAAAAACTAACAACTAAATGCTTCAACTGTGGTGAACTGTAATGCGGATGTTTGTATTATGTATTATTTTAAAAGCTTAGAAAACATGGTTTAACCTAATTAACCTGTGGGACCGCGAAATCTTTCGGGCCTCTCCAGAAGAGACAGTTATTTTTACTCTATTACACATTGGACACACGGCCCTAACACACAAATACCTCCTTAAAGGAGCAGAGAAGCTGTTCTGTGTCGGATGCAAGACATTTTTTCCGTCGTTCCCAACAGAATTTTAGATTTTATAAAGGCCATTATCCTTTATGGAAAGATATGAAATAGATTGTTTGAAATTTTAAAGTGTTTTTCAGAAAGTTATTTTAAATTTACCTTTAAATCTAAAGCCTATTTACACTCGAGTTTTGGCGTTAAAAATTTTTTAATAGAAATATTGACCAGTATCAAGCCGAGAAATGGATAGTTGAGGAAAAAAAACCAACTTGTTTCGCGCGCTCATATGACCATATGCAGTTGCGAGCACCGTAAAAGCCCATACTAATCTAAACTAATTAACCTGTGACACCAATATTGGGTGTGCACGTTACCAACCCCTGCCCCGAAGTACCGATATATCAGTGTATAGTCTATCGTAGAACAGTAGTCTGTGTACATGGATAAAAAGGGGGAAAATGATGTCAAAAGAACTTGTAGGTTTGTTGTAACTATTGTAATAGTAAATAGTATAGTCAGGGCAGCTAAAAAAAGAGGAAATACATTGGTTGAATAAACTTTTCTGTTTTTAGGTGTATAGACATTTTTTACTCAGGAAGCCAGGGGACAGGTTATTTTGGGCTCCAGAGGTCGGGGTTCATTGAGTTAAGATGCAAGGTGCCTTAAAAATTAGTCATATTTATGAGACTTTCGATACCTTCGGGGATTAATATAAAATTGTTTAGAAAGAGGGTAACTTTGTTTTTGTTATCAAGGTAGTAGGTTGTTGGCTTGATCCAAAAAGATGTGGGATTCTTTGAGTGAATGGCCATCATTATACCTTATAACCTTTCATATTATACCAGTAGCCGCCATCTCTCCCTCATTTTTTCATTTTCCACATCTCAAGACTTTCCACTGTTTCCTCCCCTATCACCTCGCAGAAGCACCTCCTAGATCATCCTTGATCTTCAAGAGGATTTTCCTGCCATGTTGTGTGGATCATCAGAAAGATCTACCCACTTAACCTTTTTTCCACCCATTTTAAGGAATACCTACTTTGTATTTGGTTAGTGAGCAACTATCGGGTTTTTGGGATTCTGTGGTCATGTTGCCATGAGGTACGGTGGGGTTTTTTTTACCATGTGGTTGGAACAAGGGGGTTGTCAGTTTTGTTTGTTTTTTGCATGCAGGCACCTCAATTCTTTGGGATATGTAGTTGAAATGTAGAGACTGCCACCCATTGTTGAGGAGAAAGGTGGTACCAAGTTGTCGTAGGCAGTGGACACCTTTCAGTAAAAAAAAATAATGACAGTATCATTAAAATATAAGACATACTCGCACGGGAGGAAATGGGAAGTGGTTGTTTGTTATAGGTGATGTCTTCATATAGATGGCCATTTTATTTAGTGCATGTTCCACTGTATTTTCCAGGTTATTCTCACTATTTATTATACACATGCATTTGTGGTGGTTAGACTAACACTGAAAAAGGCGCATGTTCGATTCCTGTGTGGAAGAGTTTGTTTTACCGAGTAGCTTCAGGTCAGTGTTCCTGCTACTGCTGGGTTGCTGTCTGTTCCTCTCATCCCTGGTTGGCCATGACAGACATGAGTCCAAGCTGCTTTGCTATCTCTGCTCTGCCAGTCTATTTAGAGGCCACTTTTGTTGGTGGTGTGTTAACCGCATACAGTCCATTTACACTCTTTTAAGTCTTTATCAAGCGCCTAGTTGTCTATGACAGGGATGAACTCACTAGTTCTGAGTGCATAGGGTTGTGTGAAAACTCTTTGAAAGTTGAAGACAGAAAATGCTCAGATAAGAATATGCTTCCCAGGACAAAACAAGCTGCCTGTCCCAGCTCTAAAAACTTAAGTGTTTTTGCTGTCCGAAAGACGAGGAATACTTCCTAGGTTTCAGATCTTTACTGAATAATGAGGTTTCTTATGTATGTAACAAACAACACAACCATCTGCATTGACATTGTACATCTTAGATCTTCTTGTTAGTCGACGTGAAATGTGACAAAAGAAGAGATTTTTATGAGTCAATGTAATTTGTAGCATCAAGCTGTTCAGTGTGTGTGTGTTTGCAGTGAGCATGTTGGTCAGGAAAAGACTCAGGGGGATTAAGTGTGGCGTCGGTGGCCTAGTGGTTAGGCTCTCGGACTCGCAACCGTAAGGTCGTGGGTTCGAATCCCATCAAGGGCCCGACGTTGTGTCCTTGAGAAAGGCACTTTACACGAATTTTCCTCACTTCACCCAGGTGGGAATGGGTACCCGGCTATAGACAGCGAAAGATCTTGTCAGTTTGTTAGTGTTTGAGCGCTTAATCGGCTGCTCGCACTGTATGCTTCCCGGGAAGCTGAGAATGTTTCGGAGTGTTCTATGGTCTGCTGGGGTAATAATATAGTGTAAAGCGCATAGAGCCTGCTGCTGAGCGGGGATATGCGCTATACAAATGCTATCTATTATTATTTTTTAAGTGTTAGTTTTATTTCCCAAATGATTAGCATGCTGCTTTTGTGAAGTTTTCCTGAAAATGTTTTTACACCTTTTCATGTGAATATTTGATGTTTTAGTTTTTTTCTATTATTCACAGTCAGTCCATTAGTTCCTTGATGTCCAACTGCATCAATGTGACACTTGCTATCATGTATCCATCTTTTACCACTGTTGAAAGTGATATTTGTTAGTTGAATTACTTTTTCTGGAATGTTTTGACATGTATGTTCTGATATTGGTCATTTTTCATTGTTTGATTTTTTTTTATTTGTGAACTTTTTTTTTTTTGTCATCAGATTTGGGGATTTGAAATGCTCGTATCACACTGTCGCTAAGAAGGACCAAACCTCCGGGACTCTAGACAACCAGACTCAGAATCTGGACATCGATGACTTGGTGGAGAATGCGCGGGACCTGTACCTGAAGAAGCAGACGGTGGTCATCCACCCGATTCACTCGACGGAGATGCACATCCCCAACCCGTACCCAGATGGCTCCCCGGGCGGATTTACCATGGCCATCCGGATGAATGGCACGATGCACTACAACATGTCGAGCTCCCCACCCTCGGGGTATGACGTGTCGCCCCGCGGCAAGGGCAAGCCCCCACACTCTCTGTGGCACCCCCACAACAAGCGAAGCGGCAGCAGCTACCATTACTATGGGAAGAGCTCGGGCGGGAAGGGCACATTTGTTGCCAATGGCACGGTCAACGCCAGCTCTCACCTGGCCACGGGCTCCCACTCGAGTGGAAGCGGGTACCAGCACCACAGGGGTGGTGGCAGTGGGCACAGCGGCCATCACCAGCATCATCATCATCACCACCACCATCAAAACCACCACGGCAGCAGCAACCACCACCACCACCAGCACCACCAACAGCACCATCATCATCACGCGGGCCAGGGCGGCAGTGGTGGCGTTAGCAGCAGCTCCTACGCCTACCAGAACGGCTACATGAACGGCTTCCCTGAGGAGAACGGCTACAACAGCTACGACCATCGCTCGACATCGCCCACCAAGGTGAACGGCATGCCTCCTCCTCCAATGGGCAGTGCCGGGAACGGCGCTGGTGGCGGCCCACCTGGTCAGATCTCCCAGAACTCTCCGACCCCGGAGCAGATTCAGCAGCAGATGCAGCACCCCCCGCCCCCGCCGCCTTCGTCCTTCCCCCCTCACCTCCAGCAAGCCTTCAGCACCCACCCCCCAGCCACCGACCACTCCAACTCTCTCTCCGCGCCCCCACCTCCTGCTTCCTCGCAGCAGCAGCCACAGCCTCCCCCAGCTTCCTCTTCTGCTGTCATCGCTTCCAGCACCACCACTTTCAACAGCAACAGCAGCAGCAACAACAGCAGCAGTGGGACCACTGGGAGTGGGAAGATCAACAACAGCAGTAAATTCCAGGGCAGCCGGGGAGGGGGCGGTGGTGGAGGCAGGCACGGGCAGAGTCCTGTCAAAGAAGTGAAGTGAGTGAGGTGAAGTGTGCTGATTTGGTGCGCTTTGCCTCATGCCTTAAATGTCTGGGTTTTTTAAACCATATTATAGTCCGTTAGTGACAGCTCTGGCAATGGATAAGTGCCAGCTTCTTTCACAAGAGTGTGCTAGTGTTGTATCCAAAGAGTATCAAGTTTAGTTATTGCATTTCTCCCCCCCCATTTTCTTTTTGAGCTAGACTAATAGAACTTTTTTGGGGATTTATTTTTAATATTATCTTAAGGCATTCTTGTGTGCTTGGTACATGCTTTCTGCTTGCTTGCTAGAAATGAAGTATAAGGGAAATAGATGTAACTTACAATGGCTACCTGACAAGTGATTTGACTACTGTTCTAGGGATGTGATGATTATACTGCCAAGGAAAGAAGTAAAGGTCTGATAAGACGAAAAACTGGAGACTGCCCTTTTCCTTTTTAACAATTTTATGTTGCTTTTTTTTTTCCAAATGTAAATTTTACCTTCAATTTTTGCTGAAGAGTTTTTCTTCTCTTGGGTTCTTGGGAGAACTCTCTTTTTTTTCTATTAGGTTTGGGGAGGGATTTTAGAGTTGTCGTTTTCCTTTAAATAATAATTGGTAATTTTGAAATCAATGTTAAGGACTTATGTCTTTTAACTCTGCCTCCTTTTTTAAATTATGATACAAGATGTAATGTTTTTGATCCATTTATGCTTCTTTGTAACATTTTTTTCAATTTATTGGTTCAAGTAAATGTTGCAGATATGAAGATGAAAGAGATGTGGAATTTTAAAAATTAATATGACTAACAATTCAGATTTTTACTGACTAAACACTCTCTTTGTAAACTCATTTATTTTCCATTATTAAGTAAGCCTTAGGCAGCAGTTCTTTTAAAGATGATTGAACCATTTTCACTGCCCCACAAGCGTTCTTCACATTTGGGAGAAGGTTGGGTTTTTAAAAAAATTCATCGTTCCCTTTCTCTTTGTTTTGTACTCTCCCATTGGTTCAGATTGGTCAAGTTGAAAGAGGAATTTTTTTCAGTTTGTGCACCTTTGTTATTCAGTTTTCTTCGATCTTTGGCATCATGAGTTGGTTGGTGTTGCATTTAGCTTCTCAGTTGCTGTTTAGAATGTTCATTTTTAAGATTTTATGTTGTTTTTAACTTCTTCGTTTTCGACGGAGTGTGATTGTACTTTTTTAAAGGAAATGATTGTGAAGAATTGTTTCCTTAGATGGCAAAATTCGGCTCTTCATAAGATTTTTGTGTTTAAAAGCACATTTATCCTTTTATTTCGTTGTTGCTGATTTGTTTTGTGAATTCCACTCTTTAGGAGTATAGTATGTCTTTTGAAGCTACTCCCTTGAAATTCCGGAGGAAATTACCTGCTGCTTATGGGGAAAACAATTTGCTAAGATTGTTCATCTCTGACCAAAATTTGCTTTTCACTTTCCTGATAAATTTCTGTTCTGCCTTGCAGTTTCTACCATTGTACTCTCAAAGGTTTCAGTTACAGAGAGACAAACATGTAAAGTCCTGCAATACTGCTGCTGCTTCTGCGCACTCCAGGGTCTGTGCACCTTGAATTGTGTAGTTGATTTTTTTCTTATTTTTTCCCCCGTCTTATAGATATAATAGATGTTACACCGTTCTGGAATGTAGTAAGGAGCACAAATCACAGTGTTTAGTTTGTGAATAGTTCATAAAATCATAAGATTTTCACTGTTGTATTCTTCTTTTCTTTTTTTAAAATTTTTGGTTCACCACTCATTCCTTTTTCATCATTGACAAGTTATTTACAGAGAAACATGTCCGTTTCCAAGTAAACAAAGGTGTTTTTTAAAGTTTTTTTGAAAACTTAAATATGATGATGGTTGTTACTGTGGAGTCTGCAATGCTCACGGCTGACTGTACGATGACCTGGATCTGGCTGCTGGTTCATCTTGTGTGGATTTTGTCAAAGGTTGTTGTTTTGACTTCTCGCTTTCTTTTTACCAAAATTGGACCACAATTGGCTTTGTTACAGTTTTTTTTTTTTTTTCAATTGTTTTTTCCCCTTGTTATTGTATGGTTTTTAGTCATTGCGAATTTGAAAATGTGTGCCCACCTTCGTGTGGATAGAAGTATTGGCTGCAAAACCTCAGACTTTGTACATGATCCAAAGAGTGTCCACTCTTTAAATAATGTTCTTACTTTTAACTTTTTGTCCTGGAAGAAAGTGGAGATGTTGACCCAGCACATGGAGTATGGAGGAGGGGTGGTGGAGAGACTTTCTTTTTTAAGTTGGGTTTTTATACAGTACATTTGTTCAAGGCTGTGAGCAGATCTTGAAAACCGCCATGGGGTTGGATGGGGGTTTGGTTTACAGCACTTTGCTGCCTGATGGCGACCTGTGTCACCTGCACTTCACCATTGGGAATACAGAGCTGGAGCACGGTGTTTCACCATATCATTTGTAATTTGTTCTCCAAATTTCCTACACTTCATTGAGTGTATGGGGGGGTACATGGTATTTTATTTCTGACTTTCAAAGTTTTGTTAATCAAAGTCAAGACGGAAGGAAAGGTTTTAGGTTTTATTTTGTTAGTGTAATGCACAGGAAGGGTTAGGTTAACACTAGAAATAAATTATTTGTGTTAGTAAGTTCCTCTTCTAGATTAACCAGCTATTGCTGATGATGATACTTGCTAGTTTCATATGAATAGTTACTGTGCTGTTTTTACCTGACAGTTTATGTAAATGTGTAGAAATAATGAATATATACGTGGAAAAAAAGAGTACTTTGTCGTCATCATGTTTATTTTTCCCTCCATTTCTCCTCAAAGATTTTTATTGTTCTTTGGAAAAAAGTGTCAATCTTCGGCCATTTATATCAGGAGTTATTGTTGCAGTTGCTTGCCTTCATCATTGTAAAGAAGTAACCCCCACCCCCGCCTCTCCCAACTCATTTATAGAAATGTCTTTTTTTGCAATTGCGCCATTCATATCTTTTGAAGCACCATGAACAACTTACAGATTGTTTTCTGCGCCATAGTTCTTTTGAAGCTGTAAAGAGGAGAATGAGAATGTCACAAGACGGGTGGAGCTGTTATGATCTGACCGTATTGTTTTGTTTTTGATTTTTTCCCCCCTCTCTCTTTTATTCCTTTTCTTTCTTTCTTTCCTTTTTTTTTTTTCTTTTTTTTTTGGTGGAGATTATGAGGTGTTTTTAAGAAGATGGCCATTTGTTCTCGCACTTTTCTCATACTCACTTTAATGATATCAAAAGTTTTGTCTTTTTCCTGCCCCATAGTTGTGTTTGATTTTTTAATATTGTCGTGATATTTTTTAAATTCGTGCACACCCAGCTACCAGCTTTTTGATGGGGGAGGATTAGGATGTTGCAAGTTGTGTGAGATCTTTGAAATAATTCTGGGCATTGTTCAAATTGGCTGTTCTATTTTTATGTATGTTATGGCGTCTTTTTAGTTGGTTTTGAGCTTTTTTTTGGGGGGGGGGGGGATAGGGGGCTAGTGTAGATTTACTGACAACATCATTGCCTAACTAATGTGTGGGTGCCATTTTGATGTAATATTATACCCTTTGGGTTTACATCTGGCAGTGTTGTTAGTCCTGTGTGAGTACAGATGCACTGTTATTTATTTTTAAAAAATTTTTTTTAAGTTCTTCAAATTTAGAGATTTTGTTTGATTTTGATGGCGTCCTTACTTGTAGTGAGTGCAAAAGCAAAGTGGGAGGTTGGGAGATGTACAAACCTCTTAGTCTAAATTATGTGGATGGGGGGCGTAAAGCTCCTGTTATTAAAGACGTCCAGAGATGGCGGTTGTGTTGGTTCACCGCAGTGCCAGCTCGTACAGTACGTGTGTGGAACTTTCTCTGAGCAGAAAGAGACATCTGAGATTTATACATAGCATTTCACTTATCTGTTGGAGTTGCCCTGGGATTGGAAATATTTTTTATTGAAAATGGGGTTATTTTTCGTTTGGAATTTTGTTATGCTAATGGTTCACAGTGAGAAGTTTTAGTTGTTGTTTTTTTAAACATGAATTATTTCTCACCGGGACATAGCTTTTTGTGTTTGGAATTTTGGTCTGGTGTTTGTGTTTGATCTCCAGAGCTGTGGCTGTTGAGTTTACTTGCTAAACTGGGTTTGGATTTAAGGTTTTAAAAAAAAGCGTTTAGATGTTTTTTTTTTTTTTTCATATCCATGATAGTTTGGGGGGTTGAAAAAGAATCTTGGAAAAAAGTGAGAGGCTTTGTTTTTATGAGCTAATTCCCAGGTAATGGTGACTTACAGCATGGTGTGGTATGCTTGTGCTTGGCCAGTGTGCATTGTTGTATGTGTACTGGACGTTCATATATCACAGGATTTTTTCCAGAGCTCAGGGAGCACAGACCAGGTTGAGGGGTGTGTGTTGTCGGATGTGTTATTACGCGTGTAGTCTGTGTTTTGTGCTTGTGGCCTGTGTGTTGTCACGCATGTGTGTGTCATCACATCTATGATTTATGGCCTGTGTGTTGTCATGTGTGTGTCATCACATCTATGATTTATGGCCTGTGTGTTGTCATGTGTGTGCCGTCATATGTGTAGCCTGTTTTCACACGTGTTGCCCTTGTGTATGTGTACGAGTCCTTGTATCCCTGTCGTTGCTGATCTCTTAACATATCTGTTGACAATGGTGCTTTCATGAGGTTGCTAATTACCAGGTTTTTATGGAGATGAAGTATACCGTTTCCTGTGTATTGATTTAGGGGTGCCGCTTCACCAGAATTCCAGAGACTTTTGATATATATGCCAGACTTTTTGTTTTGTTTTTGACAGTCTGTCTGAGTTCATACTGTCTGGTTTGGTGGATATGATGTGAGAAGATCTTTGTTTGGGAGGATATGATGTGAGATCTTTTTTCAGTGACAATCCAGTATTTTCTGGAAGTTTCATAAGGTCTAAGTGGCACCCCAACACTTTTGCTTTAATGGGGTTGTTTTGGTTTGTTGTTTTGTTTTGTTTTTTTTCTTGTGTTTTGATTTGTAAAGTGTTTGGGTGAGGGGTTTTTTTTTTTGGGGGGGGGAGGTTGTTTTATTGTGGTGTGGGTAGAGGTGTTGTTTAGTTTATCTGTGTAAACTTGAACAAATGTATCCTGAGAGGCGGAAAATTTGTATGTTATTGCTTGTGTGCGTGTATGTAAGTATTGTTGCTTCACCAGAGGCTTATAGTGTATGAGAATGTTATGAATTACAGGGTCTTTTGGAGCAATAAGTTGTAATGTGCATCCTAGTGTGTTGACTTGCCAGTTGAAGATATCAGTTCGTTATATGAATGCAGTTTTTGTTTTTTAAATGTGTGTGTTTGGGTGTCTTTTTGCGAGTGTGCTTGTTTTTCTTGTTGTCTGTTCTCTCGTCAGTTGCAAGGGTTTGTACTTAAATGACTATTTACTAAATTGTCGATTAGGATGAAAGGTGGTTGGGGGGTCCTTTTTTCCCCCTCGCTTCTCCTTTTTCATTTCTGTCGGAGGAAAGAAAAACAAAACAAATTGAGGAGATATGGTGTGTTGTTGCCTGTCTCGTTTTGAGTAGTGCTGCCTGTTTGTGTGACTTTTGAGAATATTTAGATTCTTTTCATAGAGGTCAAGTTTCATTTCAACTGTTAACTTTTTTTCTAAAAGAGTTCCCATTTTGACTTCCTTGTATTGGCCATTGATTTATTTTGCCTGTCTCATAGTTCACAAGCTTTGTGTACAGGTATGCTAAACCTGCAGCCATTTGTGGACACTTTCTTTCATCCCTGTCAAGTCGTGGGAAAATGCAGCTGTGTTAGGAATCGGAAGTCTTGCTCATATGTACGTTTCGCGAGTTTGTTTTGAGACGAAAGTTTGTTCAGTGTAATGGGTGAGCTTTATATGTGGGGTGGAGATAAAAGAGTCGATGAGAAACTTCAGACCATCATTTTCAATGGGACCATCTTCAGTGACTACTGTCTGTGTGTTAGAGAAAAAAAGTTACCTATTCATAGGTTGCTCTTTTCCCTTTTTGTTTCGCTAGTTGCTCTCTTTTGTGCAGTAGTAAATGTAGTACCTGCTCTGTTGGTTGCTTTGGTTTTTACTAAATGTAACCTTGGGCAAATGGAAATAGGATGGTGACATTGAATTTTGTTGCTACAGTTATTTCCTTTTGGACTGTATTCAGATATATGTCAGAAGTTTCAATGATTGCTGACAGAGTTTGGAATTGATTCTCCTGTTTCTTGACAGGTTCATTCTCTTTTTGTATTTCTCAAAATGACCTTTTGACTTTTGATCAGTATAATTGTTGTCTACGAATCTTTCCTTTCGTAAGTTTTTTTAGACCCAGAGAATCTCAAATTTAGTAAAACATGATGCATATTACTGCTACTTGTTGCATTGGGCTTTTGTGCATACATGCATGTCAAAACTTTCTGTTGTATAATTCTTTGTTCTTTTGTATCCTATGTCACCTTTGCTGATTTCTTTGCGAGTGTTAAAGTACAGTCGAACCGTTTCTTCCACTCCACGCAGTTGTCTTATTTGCAGTATGATGTTTGTCGTAGCCAGTCCACTCTTTGATGTGGTGCTCTGAACACAGGGGGTAGTAAGAGAACTTTTTCCCTAGCTCATTGTGGCTACTTCACTGTAGTCTCGGCAGGCCATGCTACCATTAGCTCACTTTATATGATGCTGGGCAATGGTATTGTGTTCTTGGACTTTGGTTGTTTGGTGTGGTTGTCATGGTTTTCTTCCAGCATGGTTCAGTTCTGTCGGGGCTGGGTGTTGAACTCTGAGGTCGTCTTTTAAATTATCTATGGGTGTTGAAAGTAGCAGGTGTTCAACCCATTCTGTTATTGACTACACTTCAAGTGTTTCTCTCATTTGATTGGCTTTAGTGTGAACTGCTCAATTTTTTTTTAACACCCTTGGATGAATGTTGAAAAGTGACAAAAGAATTTATTCCTCCGACAATTGTAAATAATCAACGGACATCGTCCAATCCCCTGATAGTGAGTGCCCTGTTTCCGAGAAAATGTGTTATCATCGCAGTGGTTTGTTCTCTGCTGTTGCTTTTGCGTTTTTGATAAGATGCGTGATGATGTATTACGTGTGCGTTTGTTGATGTGAAATTTTCCCGTCAGTATGCTTGCTTTTTACTCTCATATGCATATATATGAGTCTGTGTGTGTATGTTTTAAAAAAATGTTACTTCGTTATGTTGTGACTGCAACTGATGTAATTTTTCTGTGTGCTTGCTTTTCACTTATGTGTGTATGTGTTTACATGTTTGTGTATGTGTGAGTTTTAAAGAACATTACCTTCATTATGTCACGACTGCCACATGATGTGCGTATTGGCCGAGCTGTGATAAACCCCAAAAGTTCTAAAATTGCTGGTTTGCTGAAGTTTGTCGTTGTCATAGGTTAATTGGTCATTGTCACAAGAAAGTATTTATCACAGCTGTTTGTTCTGTGCATTTTTAGTGCTTAAAAATGAGAATCCCGATTTGGTGTTCATGTTTCAGCTCCAATGCACATTTGAACTCTTTATGTAAAAAGTCACCAATTTTTTTTCTCGTAGATTTCATCTTTTTATGGCAAATATTACTCTATGGTGATGCATCATGTATTTTTTTTTTGTAACCGCTGTATTGCTCAAAATTGTGATAAAAGCATTTCTCATCACCTTTTGATCAAATTTGTAGTGGGCCTTTGTCAATATGTATGAAGTAATGCGCTTGTGTGTTCAGTGATGGTTTGTTATGGTGTATGCGTTGCTGTTTCAGTGTTGTTAAGATGAGTGTAGTATTGTCAGTTTATGTCCCAAACACCCTATATATGTCGTGTGCTATATATTCCATCTCCATAAAGCTTTGCTAATTATATTCCAGGAAGACACTGCCTGTTCTTTTGCTGGAATGTTTCCAGATGTTTCAATGGTTCCATCAAGTCCTGTTTTTCTGTACTACTACTGCTACATGAATGTTGACGGTATATTATTACATGATGAAAAATCAAAGCCTCTGAAGTACTTGCTTCACACAGACAAGAAAGATGTGATAATTCCCATGTTTTGATTCACCTTTGCTGTGTTTCCATAGTACTTCTTCGTGCTTGCTCGTAATGACGTCTGCAAAGGCATGCCTCTGTTAGGGGTCGGGTATTTTGGGGGGGATTTTTATGTTTGTACATTGTTCATGTTGTACGTCAGCCCTCAGAATGACCATCCCCTCACATGCAACAAGGCTGATGTATTGGGCCGATACCAGTATCGAGATGAACACTATTTGAAAATTTGATTTGCTGAATATAACTTACAGAATTTTGCCCCTTTTTATAACATCATAAAGTAGTTTTTGCATCCGTTGCCATCACCAAGAAGCATTTTTGATGTTAATCTTCAGACCATGACCTTGATTTTTTTCTCAAAGTTCTGCTTGCCTTACTTGCATGACATTGTGATAGCTTGAGAGAAATCTGTAAAAGGGACTCTTAAATTTTCAAAAAACATCTCTGATATTAATGATTATACTCCTGAGTTCTTTATTAATTGTAAAAAAGATTTTACTTGTTCAAAAGGTCTTTATTAAGGCTGGGGGGAGGGGGGGGGAGGGTTTTGACGTCATGTTTGTTTCAGGTGTAGTTTTGTGTTGTGAAAAGGTGTGTGAGTGCGAAGAAAAGTGAATGGTTTTGTTACGCTACGCCACCACCACCCTTCCCCTGTTCTTGTCTCCCATTGCAGCAAAGCGCAACAATACACACAACCCCCCCCCCCCCTTAAACTGTGATGATGATCTCCCTTGCTTTACTTGCATTGGTCAGTTGGGCTGTTGGTACATGCCAAGCACAACAAAAATCGAGTTCCTGACGACAGACTGGAGATATGAATTTTAAAAATATTTTCTTCTTTTTTTCTTTTTTTTTAAAAAAGCATTTTGATTGATGATAGAATAGCATGAATCGAATTATGTAAATGGATGTTCAAAGGAAATTAGTGGGTCTACAGTTTTAAGTTTTTCCACCTTGCTGTGTTCAGCATCCCTCTCCCACTTTGCCAGCCTACACTCAGCACTGCAAAGATCCTCACTTGATGTATTTTGGATGGACGGTTATTGGGGGGGAGCTGGATGTTATGGGGTTGTCTTGTCTTGGGGGGTTTTCTTTAGAAGAATTACCTCCCAGAGATTGTGAAAACTATATTTTCACGGAAACCTTTTTTAAAACTAGGAACAATTTAGTGCTTTTTTTTTTTGTTTGGGGGGGGGGGGGAGAGAGGAGAAGAGAAGGGAAAGTAGTGCTGAACTGTCCCACAGTTTCCTTGTGCTATTTTGTCAATGAAATGTACATCTAATCTATCTTGTACTGCTTTTGTTGATGACAATGCTGTTTACAAATCCATACACGGAGGGGGGAGAGAGACTGTTCACAGTGGTGGATGTTTTGTATGTATAATTTTTCCCTCATAATGTGCTGGGTTCAGCCTCAGTTGTTATTATTGTACTATATTGATCTGTTTTTAAGTTATGATAATCGATTGGTCATGAAGTTATCTGGTTTCATAAGAATTTTAAGAATTAGTGTGCGTGGACAAGCAGAGACATTTTTTTATATTTATCCTATTGATTGTTTCCCCGCCCCTCCAAAAGTGTAAGGGATAACGAGAGGGGACTGTCTTACATTTTGATTGGTCTGTTCTTACTAATGAGGCTATGGGTGATGTGAAGGTCAAATGTCAAGGGTTAAAATCAAGTGTCAGGGTTCGCCTCATTTTCTGGTCGGTATTGGTTGTCAGTGATGGGCACTGAACCCCTGACTCGACGATCGTTGAGAATGGCACTGAAAGGGTTAAGTCACCTAGACTTAATTGTAAGAAAATAGATTTTTAGCCTTTCTGGCGTGGGATTCCTTGACACTTGTTTTTGTGTATATATATATATATTGAGGATGGGGTGGAGAGGGGAGGGGGGTGTTGGGTTAACTGTAGCCCCGGCAGGATTTATGTCCCTGTTAAAGAAGAGCAGATAGTAAGCAGACTGTGTGTGTACTTTAAAAGAACGGTTGTGGAGGTTGTGGAGCGGGAGAGAGATCTTCCTTCTACTACCGGACAGGTAATGGAAAAACTTGTTAATGTTAACCAGGAAGGGCCTGTGCCTCGCCGCGGCAAGCGTATGACCCGAGTTAGGTTAGATTCCCATGTTGGGGAGAATTTATATATCAAGTTTGTCTTTTTGCGGAGATGTTGTATCCCTCTCAGCCCAGGTGGGCCATTACAGGCATGTGGAAGCCTGCCTTAACGTTCTAAACTGTGTCAGTGAGGTGTGAAAAAAACTCCTACGTTTAAATTTTAACCAGCGATGGCTTCTGTGGCCTTTATAAATATAATGCTCCACTTTCTTTCAGCACTAAAATATGGCCCCTTTTGTATTGAACTACTCAGTAATTATATGATGTACCTTCTTTTTAAAAAAAAATAGTTTTCCCTTTGTTTGTCTCTATTGGTGGTTCACTGTATTCTTTTACTTCTTGGGGCAAATCTTGAAGGGACCGTTGACTCTGTACAAAGGGGAACTTTCTGTTGGGACATAGATGGCCAACAACGCACGGCCTCCGTACAACTATTGGAGGCTAGATCTACTCTGCCTCTCTTTGTTCTTTCTGTTGGGACAGATGGCTAGCATGGCCTCCATATTACTACCACTACTACTCGAGGCTAGATGCTACGCTGCCTCTCCTGGGAGATGGAGGGTTGCATGACTTCTCGTTGCCGCTGTTCTGTGTCGTGTCGTGTTTAGGACGGAAGTGGCCAGGGACAAGTAGTGGTGTATGATGGACCAGCCTCTTCATATATCCATTTATAAATGTCCTCTGGCGTCGGTTGCCATGAATTTGTTTTCTGTGAATAGTTTTGGGAGTTTTGTGAATGGTTTAGTCAGTAAGTGTGGGTATTTGGAGGGCGTTGCTGACGTCGGTGATAGATTTTAAATTGTTTACTTTCCTACTGCTTCTGTCTGTCCGTCTTGCTTTTTCTACCAGTATAGTGTTATCGTGTCAGTCAGTGTGGTAAATGGTGTGTTACTCTTTGATTCAAACTACGGAAGTGAGCCTTGTGTTAGGCTGTCTCATTGTCTTAGAATGACTGTCATTCTAATTAATGGTCTGGAGTGAGTATGTACATCTGTCTGTTTGTCTGTGTAATTTTTCTCTCCCATGTCTGCTGTTGTGCCGTTCTTGTCATCAACCCATGTGGTACCTTGTTGCTAGGTCATGTATAACAATTTGTTGCTAGGCCATCTTTTCTAATTGAATAATTTATTATTATAATTATTAACTCTAGTATTAACCAATTCTCACAAGCCTTGGCTGGCTCATGCTGTCTATGAAAACGAGTGGAACAACACCTTTTTATTACAATAATTATTTAACTCTACTGGAAGCGTGTTTATGCACAGGAAGTATCAGAGAAAAGTAGTGAGCCGTTCGTTTTTTAATTTTTATTTTGAGAGATTGAGAGAAAGAGAGAGAGAAGTGACGCAATGTTGTGACTGTCCTAACAGTGTGTTAATTCTTTGTATTTGATGTATTGTCATGTAGAATTTTGTCTCAACTCGCATTGTCTTGCAAACAACTTCATTGGCATAGATTGTGGTTATAAAGTCTCCCCCCACCCTTTGGCAGGTATGATTTTTGTTTCCCTTGGAGCTGAAAATATTATGGAATGTTATTATTAGTTATTATAGGGTACGGGAACAGAATGTGAAGGGGTTGTGCTTTTTATCTGGCAGAGGTACATGTATAATATATATATATATATATATATATATATATGTGTATGCGCTGTGTATACGCAGTCCATTATTATGTGTGGGTTAGATTATTTATGGCATTTTGAAAGTCTAATAATGCTTAGATGAAGACATGGTAAGTTAACCGTTAGATATAGATAGACTGGGGAGATACGCCACACATCCTTACCCCTTCCCCACCATCCTCTCTTTTCAGAAGTCCCGTTGCATTAATTCTTTGTGGACTCTGGGTTTCTATTTTTTTCCTTTTTTTTTTCCTCTGCATTTCTGATGTTTCTTTTCTCCTTGTGATTTGGTTGGCTGTCAGGTCCGTTCCCTGTGTACTTTTCTGGCTGATGAAAACTTTGTGTTTACTGAGCGGTGAGATGAAACATTTATTATGTAATTGGTTTGTTGATGACGACACAACTTGTTATTGTTCTTCACATTCTGGCGGTTTTACTTAGATTCTTGGGGGGGGGGGGGGGGGATCTGGAAAAAAAAGGTTTCATCTCTTTTCTCCTTCATTGTGGCTCATGCATAGCCCTTGCCCTTTCCTTTATTGTCTCTTGTGTCCCAAAGTTTTTTTACAAATTGTTTTTTTTTTTTTTTTAAGGAGGGGGCATTTAATTTTTTTTTAAATAGTTATCTTTGTCACATCTAAAGAATTGGCAGTTTTTTGTTTTTGTTTTTTAGATTGTGCTGAGTCAGGGCGTTGAAGGTTTTGGTCCCATATCAGATTCATAAATCTTGACCAGGGAGTAGATTTATCACTCTTGTAACTTAACAGGGTCTTTTTTTTTTTTTTTTTTGTGGCAACATTTTGGTTTTGTTTAATTTGTTGATGGTCCATTATATTCGTCCCCCTCGTGTGTGTGTGTTTCACATGACGTTTTCATGAGCTGGGGGCTCAGGATGGCGGGGGGGGGGGGGGGGGTGTCCTGCCTCATTTCTTCTCACCATGTTCTTTGTTACAGGGGTGTGGGGCTTTTTAGTTGTTTTTAAGACTTCTGCATTCTGTTGTATTTTGTTGTTGTTGATTGAATGTTGATAAAAGGTTTTTATTTAGATATTTTTTTTCCTCTTGGACTTTTGTGTTACATGATGTTGGTTTTGTTTGTGCGTTGTTGATAAAGAAGAATGTGTGCGGTGCCTATTTGATGTTCCTTGTGCAGAATACATCATGTATGTTGTCAGCCCACTGGGCCAGTGTCCCAGTATCGCTGGCCCTTCCTGCCCCGTCCTCCCTCCCTCCCTCCTCCCCTTTCCCCCTTTGTGATGTGCTCGGACCATAAACACAGACAGACTTTTGTTGTCTGTGCATGTGTTTGCATCATGATGTGTGTTAACGGGCGGCTGGAGGCTGTGCTGCTGCACTCAGCACGTGGCCGCTCTCACCATGTTCTTCATGTACAATTCATGTGTCTCATTAAGATTGGCCTCAATATATCTCTGAATGCAATTTTATACCGTCAGACTTGGTGTTCTTTTTTTAAAATGTCGTTTGTTACCATTGTTGTGTTTGTGTGTATGTGAGGGGGGGGGGTTGGTTGGAGGGAGCTGTAGGTTGTCCCTACTTTACTTTCCTTCTGTTGTTACTGTCTACTGTCTGTCTTACTTTTTCCCAGCACTAAATGACCATTATTGTGTCAATGTGCTTCTCTTTACTCAAACAAACCAAAAAATGAGAGAGGGGGTTTGGTTGAGGGTCTGGGCCTCCTTAATTCTTTGTTTGTGGTTGCGGGGATTCCCTGCTGTGGTTTTCCTTGCTCCTTCTTTCCTATCAAAATCAAACATCTAGTCTGTTGTCTTTATTTCTCCTCCTCCTTTTGGTATAATCTTACTCTCTAGTAGTGGGTGGTTGGCGGGTGCTCTGGTGTGGTTTGCTTCTTCTTTCCTATCAAACATCTATCGTCCTTATCTCCCCTCCTTTTTTTTGTTACTCCCTTGTAACACGTCTAATCTTCTGGCGCTCTTATGACCGTATGCAGTTGCGAGCGCCGTAAGACCTCTACTAAAACTAAAACTAAACTCTCTGGTAACTCTCCTTTGGTAATGTATGATCTATTTGTGATGCAAGTGCTGTAAGACTCTTCCAAAAGCTAAATTGTTTCTCTTTCAGCTCTGTCTGTCTGTATCATTACATGATGGTGCTCTTGACGGCTGACAGCTCTGTTATCATCACACATAACCCTGGTTAATAATAAAGATCATTCCTATAGCGCCCACTCCTGTGTAAACACAGCTCTTGGCGCTTTACATAAATGCATCATGTACGAACAATATTCACGCACACACAAACTCACACACATGTCATACACACACACTCACGCACACGTGTGCACACACTTGCACGCCCAACACACACACACACACACACACACACACACACACACACATCTATTGCTTAGCACACTCGCACACTTACACATCGTTACGAAATGAGCACATACACATATATATACATAATAAATAGTATACATACAATGCAATTAGCAAAATACATAAAGGGATACATAGTCATTTACATATCATTGTACTGAACACGAATCCACTGACATAAAAATTATGTCATTAAATGTCTTCAATGAAGATTTTTAAAATTTAGACTCAGATGTTGTACAGTGGAAACCATATAAAACAGGCCCGGTAATAACAAGGATGTTTGAAATCCCCGTTTTTTCCTACTCTTTGTCTCTATTAAAAGTTATCGGCAATAACAGGGCCTCATCGGAGCCCCATCGGTTATAGCAGGGACAAAGGCTCGGTAACAATGGAGAGAGAGAGAAGAGACGCACGCGTAATGTGTCATGCTCAGGTCAGACCCATGGCCAAATCTGGTCGTGCGCAGAGCTTGTTTCGCAGTTCAAAGCACACACACACGCATGCACCACACCACACTGTGACTGTTTACTTACAGCAGTACATATATGTGGACGACCGGTTGGCCTAGATTTAAGCCTACCTCTTTCATTATGGCCACCAACGATGTCAACCGCAAGAGAAAATGCCTTTCAGTAGACGAAATATACGAAATAATCCAGGCTGTCGACAAAAAGCAAGCTCCACTGGCAGAGAATTGTCGTCAGTTGGACATTCAATAAGGGCCGATTCTCTCCATTATCAAGGATAGAGAGAAGATAGTGGCAGCATATACTCCAGTGGAAAGATTGCTCTGGATCGAAAGAAGATGAGACTACCCGATGCAGATGCTGGGGACCAAACTCTCCTGAAAGTTAGTGCTAAAACCCCTGTTCGTTGGTTCTTGTGGCAAGGGAAACTACCCATGAATAAGTACAGCTGGATTAGTCCACAAATGCTTACTTTCCTTGCATTTCTGATTTAACAGGGATCGGATATAACAGGGCTTTTTCTCTACTCCCACCATCCCTGTTATATCAGGTTTCCACTGTATGTCTCAAGGGTTGGGGACAGAGTTCCATACTGATGGAGCAAGGTGGGCAAACGATCTTTCAGCTAATTTTTTATCCCCTTTTCTAGGAACTCTTGAAAGATACTGATCGCCTAATCTTAGTGATCTAGATGGAACATAAATCTGGTTCTTAAGTCTAAAAGACGTTCTTGAATATGGTTTTAAATGCAGTGGAGTCCACTTATAACGAGTCCTAAAACAACGAGAAGTCTGTTATAAAGACACTATTCGACCTCCCTCCGTGGCACCTCACCAAGGCAAAAGTAGATTTACAGCTGACCACACACAACAAAGAAAGCACAAACACCAAAACTTTTAAAGCAGAATACAAAAAACTAATAGATAAATACCCCGGTGCGGAGCTCATCTTCACGGATGGCTCCAAAAAAGACAATGAAGTGGGCGCCGCAGCCCTATCTCCCAACAATACACACCAGAGGAGACTCCATCCTGAAGCCTCCATTTTCACTGCGGAGGCCACTGCCATTGACATGGCACTGGACTCTGTAGAAAATTCTCCTAACAAATCTTTCCTTATCCTTTCTGACTCTCTGTCTTGCATCACCTCACTCACAAACTACACACTCTTACATCCAAAAATAGTTAGGCTACAACAGAAAATTCATACACTATCCGAAACAGGAAAAAACATCATGTTCGCATGGATACCCAGCCATGTGGGCATCTGAGGAAACGAGCAGGTAGACGAACTGGCGAAGAAAGCTTCATCCCTTCTGCTGGGATCAACGACAAACACTCTCCCACAGACTGACTTTAGAAATAAAGTCAAAAAGTACTCCTCCAGTCTGTGGGAGAGCCACTGGGAAAACCAGAAAAATAATAAACTATACGAAATAAAACCCAAACTAAAACAGCGAAATCCTTCGGACCTCTCCAGAAGAGACGAAGTCATTTTTACTCGATTGCGCATCGGACACACGGCCCTGACCCACAAATACCTCCTACAGGGAGATGAGAAGCCGTTCTGTGTCGGATGCGACACAGATTTTACCATTAGACACATCTTAACCGAATGTCTGGACTTTGGAGAGATCCGAAGGAAATTTTATAAATGCAAGAAATTGCAAGATATCTTTTCCGTCGTTGTTCCCAGCAGAATTTTGAATTTTATAAAGGCCATTGGCCTTTATGGCAAGTTGTAAAAAGAAAATGAAAACGTACCATTTAAAATTTTTATTGTTACCTATAAGAGTTGTTTTAAATCACAAATATATTTACACTGAATTTTAATATTTTAACATTTTAGCATTTTAAAGTAAATTAGTTGACCAATCGTGCTGCGAACATTTGCGAAAGTAAACAACTTGTGTTTCGCGCGCTCATATGACCTTAGCAGTTGCGAGCGCCGTAAAACCCTATACTACATACATACATAAAACCCCGTTTTTTCCCTTCTTTATCTTTGTAAATAAAATATTGCTATTGCGCAATCATACAGTCACACGAGTCGTTTATAACGGAATAGTGCCGCTGCTGTGCACAGCACACAGACCAATTAAACATAAAACCTCGCCAGTTGAGAAAGTTGTTGGTGATTCGGCCAAACAATGAATGGGAGAGCCCACGCGAACCAACAACAATGAAGGCCGGGGCGAATGACGAGTGAGGAGGGTGTGGCATGCGCAGACAAGCAGAACGCATCGCTTGACAGGCCAGCCCAGTGTAGTTTATCTAGGCCACAGAATTCTACACTTTGACTTAAGTGTAGAATTCTGTGATCTAGGCATACCGTGCCTCTCACTTCTCTGGTGCGGGATGGAGAGGTCACAATGCTGTGAATGTGATAGATGGAGTGAATGTGTGACGTGCGCAAGCAGGCGCAACGCACCACAGGGTGTGGTGGGGTGGGGGCTAGGCGATCATAAATTATATGACCGTCTAGGGTGGGGGACAACACAACGGGCGAGTTAGCCTAGAGCCAGGGCCCTTCTTTCTGATCGCCAACGCCGAGCTGTCAACATTGCTAGTGCTAGAGAAAGAAACCTGATTCGATGTTTGATCAAGTAAGACCTAGAGATCATGTTGAACAGAATCATCACCAGGGGAAATACAAAAAGGAATAAACAGAACACCAAACTCATAGATTAGGCCTACTTTACTATTTCCCTTGAATTTATTACTGGATCCCTTACAACGAGAATCTTTCTATAACGGACATTTCGCACCGGTCCCCTCCCTCTCGTTATAACAGGATTCCACTGTATAAGGCTCTGCACCTGCTTGGTTCTTCTTGTCGGAGATTGACAGACATTATATTCGGAGATCCTCGAAGGTAACTACTCTGAGGGTGGTAAGTGGGTGCTCTGGTCTGGATTGGTCGTTCTTTCCTCTCAAACATCTATCTTACTTATCTCTTCTTTTTTTTTTTACTACTTAAGGTCATATGAGCGCGTGGGACACATTACACTTTTTCAGTAGGTAGGAATTTTTGAATTTTGCCCACGTGGTGGCCGATGCTTACTCTTGTCTCTTTGATTTAGGACCACCAAGGGATCTTTAATGTGCGCAATGCACACAGGACCTCTAAGATTTTTCGCCCTTGTCAGAGAAGGCTAGGTATAGATCTTTCCTGCCATAAGATCAGGGGTGTGGCTGAAAGACAGCAGTAAGAGGGAGCCAAGGAGTAGTAGTAGAAAGGCTGCAGAAAGAATCAGGATCCCAAAGGAGGGGGCAAAGGAGGTGGGGGCAGAAAGTGGAGACAAAAGCAGATGACAGAACATTGCTAGAGTAGAGAGCAGGAAAGGAGTCGAAAGAAGACAATTTGAGATGAAAAATTTCCAGTCGCTATCCGGATTCGAACGTGGGAACTATTAAATGAGAGCCCCCCCCCCATATTTATCTCTCCTTTTTTTTGTGTACTCTCTTGAAACACCTAATCTTCGGTACTTATATTATGACCTTATTATTTTGTTGCAAGTGCTAAAACATTCTTACTAAAACACTTAAGACAGACATTCAAAATAAAATAGAATAAACCCAACTGTTCTTGCCTACCAAATACTGAAAATTTGGC